TGCACGTGCTCGAAATTCATGTCGGCTGATCCGGAATAGGGTGTCCAGAATTATGCGATGCGATAGGGTAAATTATGCGTGCGATCGAGGTCAAATTATGCGATGGATGCGAATTATGCGATTTCTTATTTAGATTTTGTCAATCATGCGAAATCTTCGGAATATGCGGACTTACGGCATTGGAAGTTTTCGGAATTTTCGCCATTCAAACACCACTTCCACCAATCACATCTCACCCACGTGCATTTTATGCCTTTTTTCCTTAATTATGCGATGCGAAAAAATATGCGCATATCGCAGCATCGCATAATCCTGGACACCCTAATCCGGAATAGTCAAATTTTGTGCACTCCGATTGGCCATTTCCTTTTTAGGGGTTTGTATTAAGAATGTTTACTGAAATTGGATAAGGAGTTGTATCCCGAAAATTATAGTTCGACAAATACTGACACACAAACAAAGAGAGAAAGAGACAACAATCTCAGCAATTCGGGTTCATTTCTTTAATCTTGGCGGCAAAGTTATATCCGAACAGATAGGAGAAACTTCTCTCCAAGCCCAAATCCCTCCTAAAAATAGTTAAAAAAGTATACCCAACCTACTCGCACAAATAAGTTGATTGCTAAATTTGTATAATAAAAGTCACGTGCCACATATAAATTAGGCTTTACTTTGAAAGTAGTTTGAAGCTGATGTTAGGCAAAATCTTAAATTGCACTTCCAACATTTTTTCAAAATTGCACTATTTTTTTATTATTGCTCTAAAATCGCATTTCCGATATTTTTTATTAGTGCTCTAAAATTGCACTTCCGATTTTTATTGGTTCTGGAAATTAATTTTAGACCCCTAGGAGTGTTCGAAATTAATAGCCAAAACAGATATTAGTGCTCCAAGTTTAGACTCCTGTTTTTTATTATTTTTCCTTTTTTTGGCTTCGTGAGTATTTACAATTTTATTGACTTCAGAAAAATAATATTGATACAGTGCACGACACTTAAAGACTACATTTGTCCCATTTTCAAAAATTTCATATTGAAATTTGATGCCTTTGTGATT